AAAAAAAAAAAAAAAAAAGTGGGCAAGAAAGTACATCACCATAAAATTTTGATTAGTTTACAAGAGCATTCAAAGTCAAAGAGTGAATAAGTACTGAGTTAAGTGCAGAGGATGGACGGTTACATATGGCCAGCCATATGAAAGCAGACTTTGACAGAATTTGTCTGATAACAACAATACTGAAATTGAAACATGGAAAAGAATGAAGAACAAAAACATAACATGTCATATGTCATTTTTACGGAGAGGATTAGGGCCATGTTAAGTCAAAATCATATTTTTTTATTTATTTATTTTTTTTTACTTTTTCAAACATGGCCCTAACTGTCTTCATTACATTTTGGACAATCTCCATTTCCTTTTAGTGGTTTCTAACAATTTTCCTCAAAGACTACACATGTGCAAAATAGTATAATAAAGTACCTATATACGGTGATCCAATAGCATTAAAATATAATAAAAGGATAAAAGCTTCAGTTCCAGATCCAAACTGATCTGCAGAGGACTCTCATCATTGTAAATAAACGTCTTAACACGTTTCCCGTTCTCCGTCATGTGTTCAAGTGAAACACTGTCTTCCATTATCTGACTTTACCACCAGTGTGTAATGTCCTGTCCTTTGTTTAGCACATCAGTTACTACTTCCTGGTGGTAAACTCAGAAATGTTCAGTTTTACAAGCTGACGAGGGCCCTCCTGAATGCACCGTTATTTCAGTGTTGCACTACAATTCCCAAAATGCAGTGGTTTTCAAGTAATCTGTGCACTTTGCACTGGTCAAAGTCTCACTGGGTGTGTTTCACAATGGTCCCTTGTTCAGACAATTACTGAACCAAAGAGTGTGTGAAGGAAATGATTATTGTATGACTGTGAATTCTCAAATAGAATCTGGAGCTTAAATTACAGCCCAGAAAATACTACTACAATACAGATAGTACATGTGTATAACATGAGTCATGTCTCCTCCTGAAATACTCATCTCTTTGTCTAAGGAGTGAAAAAAATGTGCACAAAAATGAGTAATTAATGCTCTCAGACTGAAAATGTATGCACATGAAACAACTGAATGTTAACAAATGTTTCATTGATGTCAAAGATAACGTTGTTTAGCAAGTCTACCCATGCCCTGACATATTTGCATGGCATTAGACACCTACTCTAGCAGGCCAGTATTGTGAAACATATGCTCACATAGATGAGAGCAGCCCATCTGGTTACTTTCCTTGTTGTATGCCCCCGCTGCCTTTTGGGTGAAAGCAGCCCCTATTTGACTGTTGATAAACGCAAATTCCGAAGTCTTTTCCAGTTTAATAGAAACATAATAATACTATATAGTTTTTTTAACTATAGGAACCCAGTGGCCAGTTAGACGAACAATCATGTCATGTAGTTGCTGATCAACAGTTGACATAGTTAAAAAATTAAAGAAACAGGCTTGGGTGAGTGTCTGCCTCCATAGAAGTGGATGAACTGGACATATACATATAACTACAACTACTACTTTATTTAATCTCCAAGTAATATATCTCTAATATCTGTCTGCTGTTTTGGTTGTCTGCCCAATGGTATCTTATTGTAACTAACTACATCGCTGTGGCAAAGTGGAACAGCTGTCTCTATTTAGATAGATTTGTGCTTATTTTTTAAGTTTTTAGTTCCACGATGCTACTTTATGGTTCATTATAAGATGGTAGGTCAGCTCAATTTATGTGAATTATTAAGGTTGAAATACCCTCTACTCCCACTGGCCTACTGAATGTAAGACCAAACCCCAAAAAGTGGGTGTTATATGGTAGTGCCATATTTTGTCACAGTAAAAACTTTAGTTACACCATCACTAAGACTCTTTTCCACACAGTATCAATTTGAAAGAATGAATTCAGTATTTTTAGGCACCTCAACACCAAAATTACAACAGCTAGCCTGATGCTAACACTCAGGCTGCTCACACTTTAACTGGCCCGAGGAAGTATAACTTTGTTAACTTGACATTAATTCCAGAGTTTCTTATTTGTGCATATAAAATAGGTGATTTTAGAGCATAAATTACTAATTCCTGTGCATGAGTATAAAACAATTTGTACTTACTCACTGTTGAATTCATTCTGATTGATTCTGCTTTGCCAATGTTAAATCTGCAGTAGACTTTTATAAAAATAAATTTTAGTCATATTTTTTGAAACTTTCACTATATCCTGACAGTAGAACACGAGACAGGATACCATCTAGAACAATCTGGTTCTGGCTCCTGTGCTCCTAATGGCATTCTGCAGATACCGGTGAAGACAACCAATCACAGAGGCTGAAAGAATTCGATTTTTTTCAAAGATTATCTGCCTCATGTACTACTGCAGGTTTAAGCTGCTGTAATGAAACTTCCTGCAGATGTTCCACAATAAAAGCTTTCCAGGAAAGGGGAGGAACTATTCTCCCTGGAAAAGTCTTTTAATGTAAAACAGACATGTTAAATCTGCAACAGGAAGCAACAGGAACTGCGAATTAACATGGCAAACAGGAGCTGTACTTATAACACAAGTAAAATAGAAATAAAGGCCTGCTTCTTTCTTCATTTTAGATTTTTTAAAAAAGGTCCTCTCCAATTACACACCTCACACCACTTGATTAAATATACTAGAAAGGCTTGATATCTACATCATAGTAGTCTTATTTCAAGCTGTATGCACTGATGATGTGCGTGAACATACTTGCACATACACAGTCACAGACAAGCAGTCGATTAGGCTGGAGATGTCTTGACGTGTCTCTTAGTGACTCTCAATGACCACCGGCTCAAAAATACCAGGTGTTCCTCTGGGAAGACAGAAGCACACAGTGATTTAGATGACATTAAAAGTATGCAGTAAATGTGTGCACCTGTTGTAAAGGCTATTTTGTACCTGTTGGCTAGCTGTGTTCCGCTAAGGGCGGTGCTCCCGTCTTTGCTGACAAACAGTCTCAAGTTGCTGTCTGAGGGGGGAAAAAAGGAATCCAGAAGAGAAGTTACTACTGTGACACACAAATGTGCTAAAACAAACTGCTGAAGCTCTGCCCTACCTTCATTGTTGCTGCTATCGGAGAAGTTCTGACTCTGGACAATCTTCTCCACAATGTCGTCTGCATCAATGCGGGTGTCGTCCACGCAGCTGGGCTGCCTCTCCACAGTGTCCTTCTTCCTCCTGACAAACAGCAACACAGAGAAGATTCATATCTGAAACAAAGCGACGCTGTGCAGGAAGCAGAGGAACATAAAGGCTCTGCATCATATTGTCAACAAATCCCAAACAAGTACCGTGTGTGTATTAAAGCCTAATATATCTCCTTACTCTTTGCCATAGAGCTCCATTGTTGTCCAAATCTGTTACAAACCATTTACAGTATATAATTAGTGGACAGAGCTTCCATTAAAGCTACATTCTTTCTAATGGCCGGCAGGGGGCAGCCCCATGGACAGCTAAAAAGAAGCCTGATGGTATGGAGTCTTATGGAGTAATGACCCCCATTTATTGATTTAGTTTTGCTACGAGACATTTCTTGAAACCTCCCACCCTTTTCAAAGCCGTTTTAGATCACACACATGCAGCCAGTCAGTATATAAAACAGTGTTTTTTGTAAAAACAGAAGCCTATTCAATTCAATTCAATTTTATTTGTATAGCGCCAATTCATAACAAGTTATCTCAGGAACACTTTTCAAATAGAGCAGGTCTA